AGGAAGGAAGGAAGGAAGGAAGGAAGGAAGGAAGGAAGGAAGGAAGGAAGGAAAAAAGAAGTGGAGTTTCCAAAGTCACACACCTAACAAGTGGTGGAACCAAGACAGTCTCATAACCCCAAAGCAGATCTCCACCATTGAACCATCTCACTGTACTGCAGGGAAAACATTCTTGACCAGCTTTATGAAATTCAAGCCCCTCTCCTGTCACAAATAATGCTCCACACTTCCCCTCACGCTCCCCAAATCTACCGGAAGCACCACACTTAAATCCCCAAGACAAGTGTCGGTAAACTGGTGTCTGCACTCAAACCAACGTGCCTCGCTTCCTCTGCCCCCCCCGGGAGGTGCCACTTGCTAACTCTTCACAGAGCTTAATTCCAGCCAGGGCGGATCTCTCTGGGGCAGGAGTCCAGCCCCCACCCTCCCGGGTCTGCGCCTCTTTGCAGTCCTCAAAGGGGTAAGAGGAGGGGGCAGGCTGCTGGCGCGTCCGAGCCGAACCCGGTGACTCTGAGGCCGGCCCGCAGGCCCGGGGGCGGCGGAGAGCGCAAGGCGACCAAAGGGGACCCTCCTTTACTCCCGCAGGCCACCAACCACCGCAACCGGGAGAAATACCTGGGGACCCCCGCCCCCCCACCACCACTTTCTTTAAACTCTGAGCTCACTGGAGAAAGAGGAGGGGGACAAGTCGAGACGACAAAGTTCGCCACCCCCACCCAAAGTTCTATACTCTAGGGAGGCAAGTGAAGCAAAGCGGTAAGAGAGGTGCCCCAGGAAGACCCCCTCCGGTCCCGGCTTTCCGGAGGCCGCAGGAGAGGGGGCAACGCGCTCCCTCTGGGTCTCCTCCCCCAAGCAGAAGGCGACCTGGGGGCACCGAGGGAGCAGCGCCCCCACCTCCGACAGCGTTCTCCCCGGCCGGGAGGCCCCCCGGGAGTGGGGGACGTCGGCCCTCAGACGAAGAGGGGTCTCGAAGGAACCCAGCTAGGTCGCACCGTACCTTTTTCTCGCGCGCCGGACGTCCGCGCCGCAGGGACCGCTGCCGGCGACAGAGTTGGGGGCGAGGGCAGACGACCGGGAAGGGTTCCCGCAGGCTCCGGCGGCCCCTGGGCCTCGGCGCCGTTCAGCGCCGCGCCTCCAGCCGCCCGCTCGCCAGGCTGCGCTCCCGGCTCCCGCAGGTTACCTGTGGCCGAGCTCGCCGCGCCCGCCGCCCGCACGGCCCAGGCCCCGCCCCAGCCGCGCCTCCTAAACTGAGGCCGCAGCGCCGCACAGCGGCCTGCGCCCGACATGGCGGGGACCTGTGGGAGGTGGGGCCCGAAGGCCCTGGGGCAGTCCCTGGGGCCTCCCTGGGCTGCAGGCCGCTGCCAGCTGGGGCCGGGGTCCCTTCCTTGTCCGCCCGGGAGGCCTCCTTCTGAAGACTGGGAGGGAGGGGGGCTGCGGTGTGGTGAGCTTTTCCGGGCACGGGTCGCCAGGAGGTTTACTGGGCGGGGGGGGGAGAAGGGAATTGGGAGGAGAAAACCATGCCTCACCCTGTGGCCAAATGGATATTTCAGTATATTCTTCGTTCATTCTCTTAACTGGAATGGCTCAGTGGGAGCTCAACAGTGATGAATGAGGCAGATTCATTAGAGAGCTGGAAAGGGTAAGGAAGCCCCTATTCCAAAGACCTTGTCTGTAAGTAGCTTGTCAGAACCATCCCATATGACACAGACAAAAGCATTGAGCATTCCTGACTCCTATATTCAAATCACACTTTACACACCATTAACTTGGTCCATTTTTGTCTGTTTTTCACAGTTACTTCTTCAGCACCTAGAAGAGTTCCCTGAAGATAGTGAGCATTCAATAAAGTATTATCGAGTGAATGCGTGAATGAATGGAACCTCATTCAGCCTTCTGAAGAAACATGACTGCTAACTGCTGCCCAAACACAGCAGGAGGGGGAGATGAAACCCTAGAATGGAGTCGCAGTCTTACCTGAGGTTTGGGACAAGCTTATTTTGAACCTGATTTTGCTGATCTGTTTTGAAATAGGCCTGGTTTCCATAGGCAAAGAAACGTGATGATCTCCGTTTTCTTAATATATTTGTCTCCCTCGCTCTTTCAGGGAGCATTAGGTAGGAGAGATCCAAACTCACACCAGGAAAGGGTAAGAGCTTGGTTTTCCTCTACAATCTCAGAATTTCCCCACCCCATAGCCATACCTGCAATTTTTCTTGGCAGGGTGTGAAACCTCTCCTGAGTATGCTTTGACCCTCTTCAGGTTTGTTCCCATCCCTGTCACTCTTCATCTAGAGCTGTTAGGACATGTTTCCTTTCCCTGCCCTCTGGTAGCTCTGGATTTCTCTCCAGGCAAGTCACCAGAGAATTACAGGTGAACCCCCCGAAGTCAAGATATGTATGCATGACTTTTCAACCTGATCATTTCTTTCTTATATGTTTCCAGATTAAAGAGTTTTCTTAGCCATTCCCCTGAATGAACTTCCAGAAATAAAGAGTGCTCCCTTCCTCTGAGAGGCCTTTAGAACACCACCATAAAGTCGAAATGAGATGGAGTTTTAAGTTACATTTGTGGGCAGTCAGAGCAATCACACATTAATTCTGCTGAAAGGAACAGAAAACTGGCCCATAAAACATGTGAATGCTCCTGGAAGCCAACCAGTCTGTAATTATTCCTAGTGGGAATTCCTGGCAGAGGGGCCTCATGAGAGCCAAAGCGGACAGTGGGTGAGCTGCTTGGAGATCTTGTTTGCTTATCTCCATGTGGGCACACAGTCTTTGGAAAACTAATGAAAAGAGACTCTAAACCTCCCTCTATATGAGGAAGGCTCCCAGCCTACAGTTCCATTCTTGTACCTCTGTTCAGCTCAATCAAAGCCAGCCTCATAGATCCACCTCACTACATCCTCTTTCTGCCTCATGAGAAAAAAGTCTGTTCTGCCAATGATAGTTTTCCCTGCGTTCTGAGAATATAACCTGCTCTGATTGCCAGCAACATTTCCTTAATGAGTTGGCTGTACTAGCTGTCTTTCATGTCATTAGCTTCACTTCATCCTTCAGCCCACCATTCCAGCTTCTAACCCTGCCACTCCCTGAAACTGCCCTTGCTAAGGCTTCTACCTGGGAAACCTTCCATGTGCCTCTCCATGATCATATCCTCCTTCTCCTCTAGAGGAAACCACCATACTAAATTTTGGATTATCTTTTTTGGCTTTCAGCTTGGAGCAGGTGAAGGTGCAACTCACTTCAGTCATCCCAAATCCAGGTTCATCTGACACCAGCTGCGTCCACCATGCCACCTAAGTTTGACCCCAATGAGACCAAAGTTGTATACCTGTGGAGAAGTCAGTGCCACGTCTGACCTGGCCCCCAAGATCGACCCCCTGGCTCTGTCTCCCAAAAAGGTTGGCACCTGTAATTGAAAGGATCTGAGGATTACAGTGAAACTGACTATTTAGGGCAGACAGGCCCAGATTGAAGTAGTACCTTCTGCCTCTGCCCTGATTATCAGAGCCCTCAAGGAACTGCCAAGAGACAGAAAGAAGCAGAAAAACATTAAGCACAGTGGAAATACCACCTTTGATGAGATTGTCAACATTGCCCAACATATGCAGCACTGATCCTTAGCCAGAGAACTCTCTGGAACCATTAAAGAGATCCTAGAGACTGCCTGGTCTGTGGGCTGTAATGTTGGTGGCCACCACCCTCCTGAAATAGAAGACATCAACAGTGGTGCAGTGAAATGCCCAGCTGGTTAAAAACTACAAAGGAAACATTTCAAAGGAAATATTTCAATGAAGGATCATTTGACAACCAAAAAAAAATGTTGCCTGTGTGTATTAATAATTCTCTTATCACAAATATATATGTCCCTAAACACAACATTGTACAGTTTTGCCTAGTTTTGAACTTTTTTTGTAAATGGAATCATTCTGGGGAAGCCTAGGTGGCTCAGTCAGTTAAGTGACCAACTCCTGATTTCAGCTCAGGTCCTGATCTCAAGGTTTGTGAGATTGAGCCCTGTGTAGGGCTCTGCGCTCAGCGGGCAGTCTGCGCGTGCGGGCGTGCTCTCTCTCTCCCGCTCTCTCACTAAAATAAACAAATCTTTAAAAAAAAAAAAAAAAAGGAATCATTCTACATTCTTCCTATGCATCTTGCTTTTCTCACTCAGCATTCTGTTTCTGAGATTCAGCTATTTAATTTCTCTGCTATATAGTGTTTCATTGTAAGAAGATACCACAATTTATTTATCTAGTCTACTTTTGGACATTGGGTTAGCTCCAGTTTTTGCTGTTGCAAAGAGTGTTGCTATGAACACTCAAATATTTCTCCTGATACATGTGTGTAAGAGTTTTCAGGATTATTATCTAGAAGTGGAATGGTTGGGTCTTAAGGTATGTATGTGTTCAAATTTACTAGGTAATGCCAGATTGTTTTGTGTGTGTTTTTTTTTTAAGATTTATTTATTTGAGAGAGTGTATGTGAGCAGGGAAGGGGCAGAGAGAGTGGGAGAAAGAGGATCCCAAGCAGATTCCACGCTCAGCATCAACCCAGGGCTCCATCTCATGACCCTGAGATCATGACAGAAGCCGAAATCAAGAGCCCGCCAATGAACTGACTGAGCCACCCAGGTGCCTCACCAAATTGTTTTCTAAACCAGTTGTATCAATTCTCATTCCCATCAGCAATGTGTTGAAGTTCCCCTTCCTCCACCTCTTTGGTTTGTGTGTGTGTGAAATTATTACTTATTATGTTTGTGATTTATTTTTCCCCAATTACCAGTGCAATTGAACATCTTTAATATTTAATAAATTTTCTTGTTCTCTCTTTTGTTAATTTGCTGTTTCATGTAATTTTTTTAAGCTTTTATTTATTTATTTGAGAGAGAGAGACAGAGAGAGCACAAGCAGAAGGAGAGGCAGAGAGAGAGGGAGAAGCAGACTCCCCGCTGAGCAAGGAGCCATTGCTCCATCCCAGGATTCTGGAGATCACGACCAGAGCCAAAGGCAGATGCTTAACCATCTGAGCAACCACGGCGCCCCTGTTTCATGTATTTTGAGAAATCCTTCCTGACCCTGAGGTATACAAATATTCTTCCATATTTTCTTCCAAAAGTTTTAAAGTTTTAGGGCACCTGACTGGCTCAGTCAGTAGAGCATGCAACTCTTGATCTCGGGATTGTGAGTTCAAGCCCCACATTGGGTGTAGAGATTACTTTAAAAAATAAAATCTTGGGGCGCCTGGGTGGCTCAGTTGTTAAGCGTCTGCCTTGGGCTCGGGTCATGATCCCAGGATCCTAGGATCAAGCCCCGCATCCGGATCCCTACTCCGCGGGAAGCCTGCTTCTCCCTCTCCCACTCCCCCTGCTTGTGTTCCCTCTCGCTGTGTCTCTCTCTGTCAGATAAATAAATAAAATATTTAAAAATAAATAAATAAATAATAAAATAAAAAATAAAATCTTAAAAAAAAAGTTTTAAAGTTTTGCCTTTCACGTTTAAGTCCATATTCCATCTGAAATTCATTTCTCCTCTCATTTGCAATGCCAAAGCTATCTTGTAATGAATTTCCATGTATGCTTGAGTCTGTTTTGGGTTCTCTATTTTATTCCATTTGCCTATTCCTTTTTTTTTCCATTTGCCTATTCCTGTGCTAGTACCATACTGCCTGAAAATTGGTGGTTTTTTTAATTAAATCTTGATTTCTGATCATAGAAGTCCTACCCTGATCTACTTCTTTTTCATAAGAAATCTCAAGTATTCTTAGCTCTTTTCTCTTCCATAAACATTTTAGGATTAGCTTGTCTGGCTCTATGAAAATTTTGTTATTTGTTTTTTAATTTTTTAATTTTTTAAAGTAAACTCTATGCCACATGTGGGGCTCAAACTCACAACCCAGAGATCAAGAGCTGCATACTCTACTGAGCCAGCC